ATCTAAACTGCAGGATATGCAGGAACCTTCCTTTTTGAGTATCTAGGAAACGTTTTACTACAAGACGACAGTGCAAACCACTTTACCACCATGCCTCTTATCAATCCATCTTCTCTCTAGGCATCCTCTGTAGGATTTCTGTTCCTTGTGCAATATATATATATGATCACTCCTGAGCTGTGTTACTATTTCAAAGTTTAGAACTCCCACGACCCATCAAGGACCAGCAGGTGCCTGTCTCTGTCAAATCCTGAGCAAACAGATCAGATAAAAATACACACGGACATGACTTTCCAATACCACCATTTTTCTTGGTAGTGGACCTGCCAATTCCAGTACCAGAATAAGCAGGTCCACCACTGGTGCCCTGTGCTTTTCACAGATGAGTATGAGTTCACCCTTAGCAAATGTGATAGGGTCTCAAGGAGATGTGGAAAATGTTACCCTGTGTGGAGCAGGGAAATTATTTTACTGCTATTGTTAAATAATTGTCATCATTACCATTGCATTAATAATATAATCTGGAGTTTATATTGCATTCAGGGGTTGAACAGTGTGTGTCTTTCAGAAAGGCTAAAAGTAACAGGACAGGAAACAGGCTTGGAGAGTTTTGCAGAAGTGAAAGTTATTTTGAGCAGCAGGCTAAGACGAGGCTTTAACAATGTAACAGATAGCTTTAAGAAGGCCTTAAGCAGTTATGACTATTTTATACACAATGCATATCTGTGCTTATTAAAGAGTTGGAGCTCGGTCAATTAATTGGGGGTTGGAAGCTTTGTTCGGCGCGATGTCCGGACAATCTATTGTGCAAGTGACTTGGAGCCATAGAAGGAATTGCAATACATGCTTACAAAACACTTATATATCAGGTCATTTCATATTAAGGTTTTAGTAGAAGTTCTTGGTTAAAACATTTATTTAGTAGAAGACATACATATAGTCTCAGTGAGCCTCTGGTCTGGTGAAAGGTCAGAAGTGCAACAGGTGAATTGAGAAAGAGCATGTGAGGTCGTGACACACACACCTGAGTTAAATTTATTTAGAGGAGAGATTAGTCATGTCTGGTTGTAACTGCAAAAGTGTCTCGGTAAAAGAGGAACCGTCCTTGTTGTCTCGGCAAGAAAGAGGAACAATTTACTTTAAGACAAGAACGGAAAGTACCAGCCATGAAAATAGAAGATGATCTTCTGGGTTAAAAGCCATTGTGGTGTTGATCTGATCTATGTATAAAATGTATCTGTGACGCATGAAGGGGCGTCAGTAAATCAAACCCTGATGCTATAAAATATCTGTTCATGCTTTGATTAAGTTGGAGATCACTTGCTGTCGGCGTACAGAGTGTTCTTCCCACACGTGTGTAGTCATTAAAATCATTGTTGGACCAAGAGCTTCTGGACCATGGGTGGTTTGTACTCTCCTTCCTCAATTGTGAACCTTAACACCTGCCTACAACATCACTCAACATGACAGATTTGGTGGTGGGTCAGTAATGGTCTGGGGAGGCATAGCCATGGAGGGACGCACAATTACTGAAGCCAGGATGCTATACCAGATGTTCTCCATGGAACCATCCAAAACATACTGTCAATGGCAAGAGAATAATATGAGAACAGCCCCACCAATACTGGAGATGAACCAGTCCTGTTCTACTGAGCATATGGGAGAAGGATACAGCAGAGGACAACAATGTCCAGTGGCTAGTGGATCTAAGAACAGATTAAAGCACAGTGGCAGACATCCAAGAGCAAGTCTTTGTCTAAGAGCTGGACAGAACAGGCCCTGGCATGATTCACATCTACTGGCTAAAGCTAACTGCACTCCATGACTGTCTGGCAGCACAAATGAGCAAAATGCTAATAGATGAGACACAACCAGAATGGCTAATGAAAGCCTGGGCAGTCCTAATCCCAAAGTCAACTACCTGACTCAGCACAACATGAAAGAAACCTGTCAGCCATCATAGTGTCTAGCATGAACAGGCACATTGCTCAGTACATGAGCGGGGCACAGAAAGGAATTTGGCAGAATCACTACAGGGACAAAACACCAGCTGTTGGCAGATAGAACAGTCACTAGAGACTGTAAGACCAGACTGACCAGCATGTGCACCTCCTGGATTGATTACAGGAACACTTATGACTCAGTCTCTAACACGTGGACCTGAAATGTCTAGAACTATAAAAGATCAATGAGGCGATGTGGAGAACAACACTGGAGGCTAGCCTCAGCCAGATCATTAACAAAACTGACTTCAGATACTAACTATAGAATGTGTCTGTGAAGGTTCTCAGTCATCCAGGTCATTGTAGTCTAAGGAGCTTGGGAAGAAAAGCGTCTGGATTTTTTTAAGTTGCTTGAAGACCTTTCACCTCTCATCTGAGAAGCTAAGTTAATTCCCAATAAAACTAACAAACAAACAAACATCTGTCTCCTATTTTTTGTCACACATGAAAGAAGCATCAATATCTGATGAGAAGACTCATTTATTTTTGGTTGTTTTTTTATCAACAGGAGAAGAATGTCTCTAACAAGTTGATTTGTTCACCTAGGATGATTTGTCTTAATTTTCACATGGCATTGCTTGAATTTGACCCTGAAAAAGGCGTATGAACCCTGTTCCACAGTTTCACTCACTGTAATAAATTCTTGTCATGTACGCTCCACTTCTGTGTTAAATCTGCTCTGGGTCCAGTCTGTACGGCTCACACCGTGACAGACCTCTTACTTTAAAAGTAAGAGGTCTGTCAGTTACAAAAGTTGTAAATGATTTTATTGCTTTGTTCACACTTTTCCTTCTCACATTCCATAGTGAATACATTCCGGATCATGCAATGCATGAGTGGGGCACAGAAAGGAATTGGCAGGAATACCAGAGGAGCGAAACATCAGCGGCTGGTAGAGAAAGCAGTTGCCCGAGACTGCAAGGCTAGAGTGACCAACCTGTGCACTGCCTGGATTGATTACAAGGAGGTCTATGCTTCGATGCCCCACACCTGGATCCTGAAATGACTACAACTGTACAAGATCAACAGGACCCTTAGAGCCTTCATCAAGAACTCAATGGGGATGTGACAAACAACATTGGAGGCCGACTGAAAGCCTATAGCACACGTCACCATCAAGAGCGGGATCTACCAAAGAGATGCGCTGTCCCCACTGCTGTTCTGCATAGGCCTGGACCTCCTCAATGAGATCATTAACAAGACTGTCTAAGGATATCAGCCACTGTGAGTACAAGAAAACAATTATTAGAATATAATGTGTTAAATTTGTTTAGATGAAAGGGTCCAGCAGTAGATCAGAGGAATAGGGAAGGATTTGTCTGTGGGTTTCAGTTTGGTTTAGCTACAGTAGAGGGAGAGGAATTTATGCACACCAGGTGTCAGCCTGTCATAAAAGGAGACAGGAAGCTACAGATGGGGGATGCTAATGCTAGTACGTGAAAAGCTTATAATTGTCATAACTTAGAAGTAGGTTTGCAGGAGACCCTCCACATGCTTAGCTGTTAAAGTAAGACAACAAGAGGCCAATGGCCCAGTGGATGCAGAGTGGGGGTCTCAGTGTTTGTAATATGTTAACTTGGTTTTGTATGTTTTCTAAAGTAATTTGGTGTAGCTTGGGTGAGGGGAAATGGACTTTTATGACCAGTAGGAAGTCACATACACAGAGACACACTGTGCTTTAACTGTGGCGACGCACACCCACCCACACGCACAGTCACTCACGTACACTCACATAAACACACTGGCACTCACGTGCTTGCACATACATATACAAACACAGAGTTTACAACACATCATGTGGGTTTTATGATAGGGTCGCTTCTATAAAGCTGGTTGTAACAAAACGAAGAAGTGAAGATCTGCAGAGGGACACCAGCCTTGAACGTCCCTCCTTCTAGAAGGTGCATGCGTAACTGAAGATGAATAAAGATTTTGTGAAATAACTACTCAGTCCGGTGCCGTCTCTGGAGACCCAACGATTAAAAAAAGAACCGGAGTGAAACTGCTTTAAGTAACACCACCTCTTCTACATCGATGATATCTTGCTGTATTCCCAGAGTGAATGGGACATCACTTCACTGATCCACTCCACAAGGATCTACAGCAACAAAACTGGAATGTTATTTGGACTCGAGAAGTGTAATCGGATCGTAACAAAGAGAGGAAAGGTAGTCAGAACTGAGGGCATCACACTACCAGAAGGCAACATTGTTGAGGACAGCTTCAAGTACTTGGGAATCCCACAGGCAAATGGGAACCATAACGAGGCCGCTAGGAAAGCTGCAACCACCAAGTACCTGCAGAAAGTAAGGCAAGTCCTGATTAGTCAGCTGAATGGCAAGAACAAGATCCGGGTTATCAACACCTATGCCCTGTTGGTGATCAGGTATCCTGCTGGGATAACAAGCTCCTGACCATTCATGGAGGATTTCACCCCAAATCCAGCACACTGAATCTGTACGCTAGAACCACATCCAGAATAAGACAATGAACATCCACGAGTACATCAGACAACTGACCACATGCTCAGTGAATACCTCAGACAGCAGAAACCCAAGAAAGAGGAGCAAGAGCAGCCAAAATGGGAGACACCCACTAGGGTGGTCAAGAATGACTGTGCTAAAATCCTGTGGGACTTTCAGATACAGACGGACAAACTGATGATGGCTAACCAACCGGACATAGTAGGGGTGGAGGAGAGGAAGACGGCCATAGTGTTAGACGTAGCCATAGCAAATGACAGCAACATCAGGAAAAGGGGACACGAGGACCCTCATGCTCACAGGCCCGTAGTAGAGAACCCGAGCTTAAGGGATAGACCGCCAGCAGAGGAGAGAGGGGAATTTTTTACATTTTATAAAATAAGTTGTGGTTAATTAACTTCAGCATTAACATAGAATAAAAATAAGGTTTTGCAATATGTTTAAATGAGTGGTGTTATTCTTATATAACTAAGGAAACAAGTTGACACAGCTGTATTACTGGCATGCTTCTTACCTGTTTGTAAGAGAAGTAGACAGGACTGCTGAAAATGATCCACTCTACCACCTTGCTGCAGGGTGGAGTGGTCAAAGAGCCAGTGTAACGATAATAACTTCCCAGTGAGGATGGCAGCAGGTCCTTAAGCACAAATGGCTCCAGAAAGGTCTCCTTTTCTGTTTGAAAGATAGTAGGACAGATAGTTTCAATCAATGCAATATAATCTATATAACAAGCTTTATTTCCCTGCAAACTGAAGTGGCAAGGGTTCAGACTTGCTTCAGAGCCTTTAGGTTTAATGTGTCACGGCCCAGCGGCACGAGGTAACAGAGATGGACACAGGTGCAGAAACCAACCTGGAAGCGAGACGATAAGGGAACAAAGGATTTATTTCCGCCCACAGGCAAACACAAGCAAAAAAAACAAAATGACGCCACCACACTAGTGGCGCGTAGGATAATCTAAGATAACGGAGGGTGACCTAGACACCTGTAGGAGACGGCTGAACAGCAGAGGCAGCGGGGAGGCGGAAACAGGACTAGGTAGGGGCCGGGGCACTGGAATAAGAGGAGATCACGGTCAGTGGGATCCAGCAGACAATCAACGATCCTCCACAGTTGAATTGAGTTGCTTTACTTGGTTTCAGGTGGGGGGGACAGGTGGGGCGGAAGGCCCGGAAGCGGTCGAGATGTGGGGAGGCAGGCAAGTGAGTGGTGGGCCGGCAGGCCACGTCGTATCAGCAGCAAGCGGCCCAGGTGCAGGAAGGCGGGAGTGAGGGAGACAAGACCTCCACTCCAGGTGCTACCTATGGGGATAGCAGATACTCAGGCGATGAATGGTTGAGAGCGCAGGTCTGATATACTGCCGGAATAATTGCTCACAGGTGGTCAGCCAGGGAGGAGCAACCGAACCTAAAGGAGGAGGGGCCGCTGTTGGAGACCTGCAGGTACCCTCCCAGACCCTGACATAATGTCTTGATTTCCTTTGATTTGTGCTTTCATAATTTAGCATCCCCAAGAGATGACAGAGAAAACAACATATGATTGTCAGCCTTGAAGTAACATTGTCAACTTTGACATAACTTAGTGTTTCACTCTTTAACAAAATGCCCAAGAACATGGGTGGGTAAAAAAGCTTTGAAGATGATGAAAAAAAAGAGAAGAAAAATGTTGGCAGAAGACACCATAACAAAAAAGACACCTGTGCTTCTTTTACAAACTGCCTTGCAGTTTGTTGCAAGGTAGCCAGTGAATGTCCCTGCACCATCAATGTGAAATTAAAAGGCTGAATGAAAGGTTCTAATAGCAAACACAGGGACCCAGTGTCTTTGCAAGGGTTTGCAGGTTTACAGATGGAAAGGTTCATTATAGCAATGATATCCAGGAATGATGAGAAACATGAGTTGTGGTGGTTGGGAGGACCATGTGGTTTTCTTTTGTCAGGTTATTCATTTACCGTATTTCCCGGACTACAAAGCGCACCTGAATATTAGCCGCACAAGCTAAAATCAGGGGAAAATCCTGTTTTGTACATACATTAGCCGCACCTGACCAAAAGCCGCAGGTGTTTCAATGTTGACTTATCATATGTAAGAGAATATGCACAAAGGGAATTGTCAGGAAAGAGATGGCTGTTTGGAGACACATCCCTTTTATTAATATTTTGAAAAACAAGTTACGGGTACATATTTGCATAACTTTTTAGGTATATGTAAAAGTAGCCATAATTACAAGTACGAAACATGTACTGTGCTTCATAAATGAGTAACAAATGTAGTACATAACAATAACCTACAGCACACCAGAAAAATAGATTCGGACTACCTTTTAGGCTCAGGTGCAGTGACACGGCTTTAACAAGAAGAAAAGTCAGTCATTCACCACCATTTTCCTGCGCACTAAAACCACCAAAGTCCTCTCCTCCAGTGTCGGATACGAACAGGCTCAGGATGGCTTTGTCATCCACTCTCAGCTTCTTTCCTTCGTTGTCACTTTCAAACCCTCTGAAGGGCCGTGACGGTGTCCTCCTGATAGAAGTAACTTTTAAGTTTAAACTGCAGATGTCTATTATTAAAAGATACCTCCGTTATAAAGCTTTCAAATGTATTAAAATGTTCATATATTTTTGTATCACATGCCATTACATCCTGTCACGTACACACACACACACACACACACACACACACAGAACACACACACAGAACACACACACAGAACACACACACATGCTGATAAGTAAGCTTGAAAAACAGGAAATGCTATGCAACTGTCTCTTGGTATAAATAAATCTGACTGCAATGCCTCGGTTGTGAGTATCACCCGATCACTCACCCGTGCACGTAGCTCTATGAAACTCCTTTTGACTGTCTTGTATTCCTTCATCGTATTTAAAAATGTCACGCACCACTGACACCTCCTCTCCATCATGCAGCAGTCCAGCCCTTCGAAATCCGTTGGTGATCGTGGATGTTTTCACACTTTTCCACGCTGTCAGATTCCACCGGTGGAGTTGAGCATAACTTGCTTTTCGCAAGTTTATCGCTGCTCGTCATCCACGCCTCCGGCTGAACGTGTAGCGCTACTTTGAAGTTTGTTTTTCGCGCTACTTGTACGGCACTATGTTGCCTGGCGGATGGACATGTGACTAACATACCACTCTTGAACCCCGATACCGTGTGTCTGATCACATGCCCTTCCGCCAGGCAACGTAGTGCCGTACAACAGCGGAACAAACAAAACAAATCGTCTTACGATATCACAAAAATCATGGATAATCCATAGAAAAGCCGCACCTGACTAAAAGCTGCAGGGTTCAAAGCTTGTGCAAAAAGTAGCGGCTTATAGCCCGACAATTACGGTATATTTAACGTTTCTAGAAGTTACGTTTCAGATCATCAAACTAATTTGACTATTAGACAAAGATAACACAGGTAAACACACAATGCATTTTCGAAACGATGATTTCATTCATTATGGGAGAACAGTTATCCAAACCCACCTGGGCCTGTGTGGACAAGTAATTGCCCCTCTTGTTAAATCATGAAGTAACTGTGATTAACGACATTTGTTGGAATGCTGAGTTCAGTTTCACTCAGGCTTGATTACTGGCAGACCTGTTGAATCAACGCATCACTCAGGATCTGTTTGACAATGTGAAGGAGGCTAAAAGATCTCAAAAAGCAACACACCATGCCACAATCTAAAGAAGCAACTGAGAATCTATCAGTCAGGAAAGGGTTATGTTTTGAAGGAAGGCTCGGAGGAGGTTGGAGCTTGTTACCATCATGGGCTCATTCGGTCAGGATGAGAATGAACAGTCAACAATCACTTGCAAGTTTCTTGTTTTACTGAATAATGAGCAAAAGGAAAGACACGCATGGACTGCTAACTGAAAGGAAATAAAGAAAATAAAGTGTGTCACTCAGTAACTCAAAATAATAGATGAACTCAGGAGACTCAAACAGAAACTCACCTCAGCTGCCGCCCCATGTGGGAGTAAAGAAAGAGTTAGCGGTAGGTGAGTGCAGTCCTTATATAACGGGTGACAGGTGAGTGCAATTAAGGGCAAGCACCACACCCAATCAAAGGTGAGGAAAAGAAAAAAGGTGCAGCTGGTGAAGTGTGCTGAAAGGTGAGTCTTTACAACAGCCGCCCCCATATTTCTAGCGAGAAATATGTTTAACTGGTTAGAGTTGACCTTTGTCAGGAAGTGGGGCAGAGGAATCAGACACGCCACAGGTCTGATATAGGTTCTGTCCTGCACTAAGACTTCTACAGTTCTGATGCGCTCATCTGGGCTCTTTAGGAGTGTTACTTTTCTACGGGCCAGACAGTTCAGGAGGTCGACCCAGAGGTCGACCCAGAGGTCGACGACGCAGGCCAAACAGTTCAGGGGGCCGACCGTGGAGCCAGCGGTGGCGGCGAAGCAGGTCCAAATGCCGACCGAATGGGATGCAGCTGCAGGCACATAACTGCAAATCGTCAGGCAGTTCTGCAGGCACTGGGCACAATGTACGGGGCTTGGTAGAGACAGGACCAGGTGAGTTAGGACCAGGAAGTGCAGTGACCTCTGGCGGAATGGCAGCCACAGGCAGTGAGTCTGGTGATGGCGGCACTGCAGGCGACGACATAGAAACTGCTGATGGTAGAGTAGGAGGTAGCTGAACGGATTCAGAGCCATCAGCGGACACGAGGATGTGCTGGAATGGATCTCCTGAATCTGAACTGAAAGATGTGAACAAACACTGGGCATGCGTGGAACTGTCCTCGGGTTGTAAGTTTGTGATCGGACCTTGGAGTGTACATCCTAAGCGGGTTTTGACCGCTGCAGGAGATCCATATGGACCAGGTCTCACTGGAGCAGTAGTCGTGATAAGGTGAGTATGATTTGAGCCTTATTTTAAATTTTAACAGTGCACTAGAACAGTCACTAGGTCTATCAAGGTACAATGTCCTCACTACAGGACTAACTTCAGTTAGTTCAGGTCTCTGATTCACCTCACACAGGATCTGTAGATGTCATCCCATGCAGGTGACAAAGTCTTCTCTCAGATCACACTTTGCAGCCTGAAGAGTCCTAGCACAATGCCACCACCATGTGTTTCTCTTTATCCAGTTTATTTTCTCATCCTTTGTTTTGTGAATAAACTCAGGACACCTGCTAATGTGGTGTTCAGGTGAGCAGCAATATGCACATGTTGCCTTAGTCGTTATGATTGGTTTTCTTGGCTGTACAGTAGGGGTGGGCGGTGTAAACGGTATACGGTAGAAACGATATAAATTTGGCCAACGGTAGAGATTTTGATGGTGTCATCAAGCTGCACCTGTTTTAGTCGAAAGCATTGCAGCGGCTGCAAACATCATCTGCAAATTACAGTAATAGCGACAGTAATAGCAAAGCACTTTTGGAATATGGGAAAGCCAAAAACTGCGCTTTCTCCACTTCTGTACCATTGATTCATTCATGCTGAATTCTATCACAACGGCTCTATTCTCATGTTGTTGCAGTATATTAATGACTAACCTCGTATTGTGGATGGATTGTCTCAGTTGTTCTCCTGACTGAAGTTTGGTCCGTTTATAGCACATGTGTCAAAGTCAAGGCCCGCAGGCCATATCCGGCCCGGCGTACATTTATATCCGGCCCGCGAGATGTATTATTATTGTTACGCATGGCCCGGCGATATGAGGCGCTAATAATATACAAACTACAGATCCCATAATGCAGCGCTGCAGCCTCCTTGCTGAACGCTAGGCTAACTGGGAACATTCCCCGTCAATCAAGTCAAACTTCTGTAATTGTGAAGCTCGCCGCTCACAATGGTGGAGAAAAAAGTTGACTCTGAAAGCAGAGCCTTTCAGCGCCAGTGGGAGGCTGAATATATGTTTACAGACATGCTGGTAAACCCGTGCGTCTTATTAGTGGAGCTAATGTGGCTGTAATTAAGGAATTTAATTTAAGACGGCACTACGAGACAAAACGTCAGGATAAGCTGAAAAACCCAAATGCAGAAACTACAGAAAGTAGAAGAGCTAAAGAAGAATCTGACATTTCAGCAGACGTTTGTCACCAGAGCAAAATCACAAAGTGAAGCTGTTGCGAAAGCAAGTTTTATCGTGGCAGAGGAGCCAAATCAGCCCGGTACCACTCTGAAGAGCTGCAGGATAAAGCTGTGCGACGTCTTGTGTCCAGACAAAACGCAGATTTTGGCAAATGTGAGCCTGAGCAGAAATACGATTGCTGATCGGGTTTGTGAGATGGCCACTGATTTAAGAACACAGCTGTGTGAAAGAAGCAAAAACTTCACTGCATACTCGGCTGTGGATGAAAGTACAGACATGATGGACATTGCACAGCTGACCATCTTCATCCGTGGAGTGGAAATATTGAACATTAAATCGAGGCACGGGACAACGACAGGAAAAGGCGTTTTTAAAAACGTTTGTCAAAGTGTTACCGACATGAAACTGCCCTGGGACAAACTTGTTGGACTTACAACAGATGGAGCGCCGGTGCTGTGCGGTGAAAAAAGCGGACTGTTGTGATTGGTGAGGGGTAGGGACAGGCTTAGGGCGTCGGGGGGTTCCCCGGAGGCATCTTCCTTGGGGGGCTCAACCCGGGGTAGCGGTCACGTCCGGTTGAGGGCTCTGTTGGCTCTCAGGTGACTGTTTCCTCGCGGCTGCGTGCAGCGGGGCTAGGGGAGGGTCTGTGTTGACGGACGTGGGTTACTGACCTGGCAACCTGGCTGCCCCTGGGTGGGTCCGGGATGGGCGTGAGGTTCTGGGGGCGCTCCGTCTCTGGGCTGGGGCCCGGGCCGGGCCTCGGGGCTCGGGTCCTGGTTGGTGTGTTGCCGGGGTTGTGGGCGGGTGGGTGCATGGGGGCCCGGCCCTGGAGCAGGGTGCCGCCGGTGCATCGAGCCGCCTGGGGGGCTCTTCAACTGGTGGGGGGGATTGGTCACATCTTGCAGGAGCTTTCTTCTCTCAGGAACTCTCTGCAGGAGGGGGAGATACAGGAGAGGTGGAGGAAGATCTCAGCCTGGGCGTTTACCGTCTTATGTAGTCTGGAAGATGTGTGGTTGGTGGGGTGGGTGCAGTTTTCTCTGTGGTGGGGTTGGGTGGACTGTCCAGGGCTCTGTGGAGCCGGGGGCGCTACTGCACTGGGCCCCGGTCTGATGGGCCTGGGCCCCCCTTCCCTGGCGGGTCGCGGAGGGTGGGAGTGCCTACTGGGGTCAGCGGGGGAGCTGGCCCCAGGGAGGGGTTACCTGCCCCCCCTTCCTTCCCTCCCCATCTCCAGCTGCCTCCCTCTTCCCGCTCCTCCACAACCACCCACACATGCAGGGCCTTGGAGTGGGGGTATGTCACCAGGGTGCAGAGGAGGCTACCCCCCCTGTCCCCTTCTGGCTGCCTCTGCCTCAATTTTATCCCACAACTTAGACATTCACATTATTCACACTCTCATTACACATACATATAGGATCTTGGGGGTGGGCACAATCACGGAGTCCAAATCACCATCAGGGTGTATACCTCACCCCTGACGTCGTTGCCCACCTCTCAATTTTAAATACACTTAGTCATTGAGGGTTAGCAGGAGGGACTATGCGCTTACCTGCTGCTCCTTGGCAGGTAGCTCCATGCCCTCCTGGGTTTTAATTGCACCTTAGAACACACATGCATCAACACTACAATGAGCGGGTGGAGGGAGGTTTGGAGTCTTCTCCCACCCCCATTCTCTGCGGCCTGCTGGAGCGGGAGGGCTAGTAGGAGGAGTTGGCCGTCCGACTGCGGTCTGGGGTGTGGGGCCTCCCTGCTGCTGTGGAGTCGGGGTGGTCTGTCTCTCCCCACCGCAGGGAAAAGGGTAACACCACCTGGGTCTGGGTGCAATTCCCCCTCCAGGGGCAAGGGTACCTAGACCCGGTTTGTAGAGTACGCTTGGGGAGTGTGATTGTGTGTACAGCGTCTCTTTATGTCTGTCTCCACGTTGGTTGAGTGTGGAGTGAGTGCATATGAGAGCATGAGGGTGGGAATGGATGTTTGTGTCTGTGTGTGCCTGTATGTCTGTGTCTATATGTCAGGTTGGGTATCAGACGCCACCTCTCTGGGGACACCTCAGGCCCTCCAAGGTTTGGAGGCCTATCTCCACCCACCACCACTTCCCCTGCCGGTGGCGGACTCCCTCAGGTGTCGGTGTGTTGGTGGTTCTTTGTGTCTGGGGGTGGGCGTCCGGGTACACACCGGCTCACTCCTTGGCGGCCGCTTGTCGGGGCCTGGGGCCTGGGGCTCGCTCGGGCCCCTTTGGAGGTGGGGTGCCCCCAGCCTCTCGGCCTAGGGCTCGGTCACTCAGGCGCAGCTGGGGCCGGCGGAGCTCACGGGCGCGTCACTGCAACTCCCCTGACTTCTGCTCCGCGGCTGCTGGGCGAGCCCTCATCTGGGACTCTCCTCAGCTCTTACTGGGACAGTGGCGCGGCTGCCCTCTGTTGGTCTTCCATGGTCTCTTGTGTTCTGGGGGCCTCTGGATGTCTGGAGTTTTGATCTCCTCCATACCCGCTTCACACCCTGGAGGACGGGGCTGTGGCCCCCCCACACTCCCTAGCAGATCATTACATGGAGAAACCTTTGGAATGCAAGCATGCTGATCCACACAGGTATGCACACATGGGTATTCACAGACGCGGACTAAAGCTTTCTTGGCTGCTGCCTCAAAGCACACTGTGCGCTGTCTATCTTGCGTGCTGCACAATATCGTTTATTACTTAGTAAATACTGATATCTATGACTAGCTAGTTTATTGTGATGGTGCTTTGTTTTCTCTATTATTATGTTGCTCTTTGTTGTTTGCTGTCTCCTCTGTTTGTTTTTGTTTGTTTTTTGTTTTTTTTTTTCTCCATACAGGTGACCCAGGAGTTTTTGTTTTTTTTTCTCTCTCTTCCCCCCTTCTCACCGTCTCTTCTCCCCTTTGGTTTTCTTTCTTTCTCTCCCCCTCTCTCGCTCATTCATTCCCCCTGTCCTATTTATTAAAAAAAAAAAAAACACAGCTGTGTGAAAGAAGCAAAAACTTCACTGCATACTCGGCTGTGGATGAAAGTACAGACATGATGGACATTGCACAGCTGACCATCTTCATCCGTGGAGTGGAAATATTGAACATTAAATCGAGGCACGGGACAACGACAGGAAAAGGCGTTTTTAAAAACGTTTGTCAAAGTGTTACCGACATGAAACTGCCCTGGGACAAACTTGTTGGACTTACAACAGATGGAGCGCCGGTGCTGTGCGGTGAAAAAAGCGGACTAGTCCGCAGGATGGGAGTAAAGATGCAGGAGGAGAAATGGCATGTATGATGCGGTGAAGGCGTTTCAAGTGAAGCTGTCACAAATGCACCAGTGCAACCTGCCTCACTTTCCCGGTTGCCAAGTAATGTCGAACCAAGTCAGCGCACTTTGCTGAACTGGAATAATATTCCTGTCTGTTTTTATTTATATTTATGTTTAAAAAACATTGTTTTAGTGTGTTCAATAAATGTTTATCTTGTTTGGCCCGCGACCTAAAGTCTGCCTTGAGTTTTAGCCCCCTGTGCAATTGAATTTGACACCCCTGATTTACAGCATCCTGCCATGCAATTGCATTTGTCCCTAACCACCTGAAACCCTCACGTTAACTTTTATCAAGTGGAAAAAAGTTGGTGTTCATCCAGGTGCCCTGATGAAGTGTGTGATTCGCCTCACCTGTTAGTGTTATCCTTATCCTCAGAATTGTTTTTAGTTTAAAAGAAGATTTTTGACGGATTTCAAAAATATGTTTTCTCTTGATTTTATATATTAGGGAATATCTACACTATTGAAGTCCTTCCTCTCTCAGCACTAACTGGACCTGCCACTCACCATGATGGACCACACCCTTTAGGCCATGGATTATGGGGTCAACGGCAGGATTGTCCCTTCCTCCCACCTAAGGAAGAAAAAACAAAGATATTTATTAATTGTGAAAAACAAATACTGAAAACACAAGCTTTGTAAATTATACATTTAAATGTTTATAAAATAATTTTGAAAAATAGTCTACAGTCAGTGTGAAGGTCTACAACATTAAATTCTGCTTCTGTTTCATAAATCCATGAAGGACAACAACAGTTTAACATTATTCAGTTTTACACATTTGTTTTTGCTAAATTTTGCTGTATTCTGTGTTTCTGCAGTGCACTTCTCACTAATTTTACCACAATGATGAACTCCGTTACAATATGGATTTTCGTTTATTTATTTAATTCACCCTATGGCAGCTGGGATAGGCTCTCTCCCCACGTCCCCAAATTGGATAAGTGAAAGAGGATGGATGGATGGATGAGTTCAATCTGAAACTGGTGCCTCCAAATGGTGTAGTGGTTAACAGATTTTGTTAGTAAATGAAAGATTCAATTCTAGCCATTGACAAAAAATCCCCCTCAGAAACTTTGAGCAAACAGGAGATGAGAGGAAAAAAACACAAGTGTGATTAGAAGAAACAAACAGCAGCATTTAACAACCTCTTTAAGGTCTTTTCTATCTGAACTCACACTATGGGATGTCAGGAATGTGTTTTTCATTGTCTTCAGTTAGAGCATCACTGTTGTAATGTGGACTGGAAATCAACAGAAGGCATAAAAGGCAGTGAAATAATAGCAAATAACTATTTTGTCCAGACTGAAATGTTTCAAGGACACAGGCCTAGTTTAACATTTGAAAAGTTTGCATTCAAATTCCCATAAGAGACATCTTGGAGAGCCTTACAAAAGGCGCCTGGAAAGAAGTGCTGTTAAATGGCAGAACACTATATTCCTTCAGTAAGTGAGCTCTGGGGGGACAGTGTCTGCCTGTCATTTAATCATTACCTATTATTAATCTCTGGCCCTTATCCACGTGTCTCTATCCCATCTTCATCCCCTCGGCCGGATCGGATGTGGCCTCCTGGAGAAGGGCTGGACATCTCAATTTGGAGTTGACCTTGGTTAGAGGCAGCAGGCTGGGGTATGCCTTTGGGGGTATCCCCTCGGCTGGCTGCCTGTAAGTTGGGGTTTTTCCCGGTGGATGACAGGGTTTGTTCCCTGCGCCTTTGGGTCAGGAAATGGGTCCTGACTGTCATCTCCACTTATCTAACTGGCCTTCTTGGAGTCCATGGGTGGAGTGCTTGAGAATGCTCCACCTGGGGGTTACTTTAAACGTCCATGTGTGCAACAACAGTGAGACCTATAGGGGAGTGATTAGGAGGAACGGCCTGGATCTGAATCCGAGCAATGTTCTGTGACTCCTGTGCAAACCACAGTGTGTCTATAACAAAAATCATGTTCAATTCTAAGAGCGTCAAAAAGTGCTCGTGGCACCAGGACACTAGGCTGCAGCCCAATCTTATCATCATGTGGCTGTATTTTCTGGTGTGGAAAATACATTATTAGACATTAGGGTTTTTATTGGTAACATGTTAATCTAGAAGCTATTGACCATGCATAATTCGGGGCCTTAGGAGAAACATTCTGCTCGGGTGAAAAGAGGTGCTGAGTTGTCAACTGATCACTACCTAGTAGTGAGTTTGATCACGTGGAGGGGGAGGATGCTCGACAGATGCCTGCCTGGCAGAGGCCCCAGTGAGTGAGATCTTCAACTCCCATTTCCAGCTGATCTTTGACATGGAGACTGGGGACTTAAGTCTGAATGGACCTCCATAGCTGAAGTTTGTGATAACCCCCAAACCAGATGATGGTCACCGGAGGCTGAGAAAGGGCTTGGTTAGCCTGTGGGACTTCAGAGGCAGCTGATAGCTACTGACGGGCCAGCATTATTTGCTCCAATTTCTAACTTTGGACCCCCCAGGCCTATCTTCAGATGATGTGTTCTGCTCATTGCAAGAACTAGAGAAAATAACCCAGAATGTTCCCAGGCACCTCTTTTATACTCATTTGCCCTTTGCTTCCCTCTCTCTCCTGTCTTCTCTGGACACCCAATAACATACAACCACTTTATACTAAGGCAAAGGTTACTTCATTAAAATCACTTCATCACGTTTTATTCTTTTCTCTTATTCTTAACATAGAAAATTTGATTACATTTGAACATTTACGTATTAATATACCTGACTTCATGTTTTATTCATTTTATGAAATTTTACTTCAGTTAAGTTTTTCATCTGTTCATCCTTATGTGAACAACTATTATAGCATGATGTAGTTGCATAGGATTGTTTTCTTTTAGTTTTTCCCTTTACTAAATCCTATGGCAGTACAGTCTCTCTCTCAATCCAACCTCTCTCAACACCTGCCTTTCATAGCCAGCCTGTCTCCTACACCAAACAGAAAGACGAAGGACTAAGCAGGCAGAGATGGATCATTATCACCCCTCTGACCATCATCGTGGTTTATGGCCAGTGTACATTATGAAATACCCACCTCAGAACGTATCAATGCAATGGTCTGATTCTCAACAACAGATACGCTGAACTCGTATACATTGAACTTTCTGGAATGAAAAAAAGCCTCTCAACACTGGCCCTTGGGTGACTAAACAAATCTGACCTTTGACATGCCTCACTGACCTGAGATCAGTGAGGGGTGCTACAGCGGCAGAAAAGTTCCTACAAAAACTTCAATAGTACTTACCCATACTAAGGGAACTGTTCCTTTTTTGTTACAGGAGGTGGAACGTCTTTGGGCTGGACAATTTACTTTCAATGCACAACCTCCCACTATTTAGGTTTCTAACATCTGTGTATGGTCAAAATGTAGAAACTTTTTTTTGATTTAAACCAGTAAATATGGAGATGCCCAGCTGGAGCCAGATGATTATGCTATGCTATTATCTAGCATGTACTATACCTCTTCCTCCAAATCTGCTCAATGAGATGCATTTGTGATGAGATATCACAAAATGAAACCAACTGGTTGTGCTTAAACTCATCCAGCTGTTCAAGAGCTTCAGACTTCTGGCTTGGATTTTAAAGCCTCAGTTATTCAACATGCCTGTAAACCACCCTAATTTCTTGTTCCTTTGCCCTCCCCCTCAACTGCTTCCACCAAATAAGAAACATTTGTATTTACATAAAGCGCAGGTTTTGTCTCTTAAACCATCAGGGAGACAGGCCAGGATGGCACACAGGCATGATGAGTAGAGGAAGTGGAGGAAGCCAGAATATGGAAAAATCCCACAAAAACACAGGTAGAGTACTCTGAATAACAAATAGCTTGACACATCAAAGTCAAAAAGTACTGACTACCAGACTTAAAGGTAACCGGTAGACCAAAATAGGACATAATTAAATACTCAAAGGGCTGATCTAAAACTAGGATTGGGCACGGCAGAAGAGAACTTTTGTACTGCGTTGGCTTGCCTTTCAACCTCTGAGTAGAGGCGGAAATGAGGTTGCAAATACAAGCGGCAGAAATGAGTTGGTGAGGAGTTCAGTCATTTAAGAGGGACTCAGAGTAGAGATGCCACTCCTCTACGTCAAAAGGTGCAATTTAAGGTGTTTGGGGCATCTGATTAGGATGCTTCCTAGCTACCTCCTGGGTGACACGCTGCAAAGATCTCTCAGCTGGCCAGGGAACACCTTTGGGGCATCTTTTCCAAGGTCTTGTCTGTTGTGGTAGAACCCAGCCTCTATTGATCCTGTGCTTGGAACCTGTTCCTATTACCATGATCTAATCATGGCAGAGCAGTCCATCTATGTCCAGTCATTAGAAGAATTTATCGATATCAGCCACTTCTTCTATCTACTACTGGTATATGCCATACATGGCTCTGTCCTTACATGATGGTTCCTTTTCTTTGTTTCTATACAGAGCTGCTTATGGAGGCACCAGCATCAGGTGGCTGCTCTCCCCAATCCCTCAATCTAAACTGTCCCTGATGCTCAGTACCTACACTTTCTCTTTACAAATTCTATTGGGGTTCAGTTATTCCTGAGCACAACCAAACCATGATAGCTAATTTAAACAAATGTATCATCATCTTGATTGTGGCTTTTATACAAAAACATGTTAAAAATGTTGTACATCACCTGCTTCACAAACCACCAGCAGAACTCATCCCCCTAATTCCACTAATACTTTTTTTTTTCATTAACCTGTACAACTTCAATATGTGTGCAGCCCGTGAAAAGAAATGGCAAACAATTAATTGTAAGGCAACGTGAGACAGCCTCAAACTTACCCAAAAAACATGAATTGTGTAGTTATTTCAAACAGCTGAACAAGTTAAGAACTGGAACTACAATAAACACCTGGTGAGAGAAACAGGCTATATGAATGGGAAAGTGGATAAAGAGAATTCAAAGCTACCATAAAGACACAGTGAGACTATGGCAGACAGACTCATTTAGGACAAGAAAAAAAGAAAGGAGGACAGTGGGAATTAGAGTTTTATTATTAATTCTTGTCTCTGAAGGCCCACAGGCTCGTCCCCTTAAATCCTCAGCCACAGTGCTTTCCTTTACAATGTCCTACTCCCAATTTCTCTTTCCATCCACTTCTCCCTTTTCAAATTATGTACCTCTCTCTCTCTCTCTCTCTCTCTCTCTTTCTCTCTCTCTCTCTTCATTCATCCCTAAAGCTCCCTTTTTCTCTCCAGGGACAGGCTGATGCAGTGACAAATTAGAGGAAAAAAAAGAAACCACAGTAGAATGTGAGATGTCCTCATATTTTTTTCCCTATAAAAAGTCTCTCTCTTTCTACAGTGATTCCTCTCACGGTAATCCATCCAAGTTTATCTATTTTGAAAGTTGGTGACCTTCACAGAAGTAACATTTTAGTGGCTTATGTGACATGTACATAGTGGCACAGATATACTTCTGTTTTACATACTGCTTCTGTTTTACGTACTATTCTAGCTCTAAAGCTCTTAAACAATTTAAAATTGATATGGATTTAATGAGTTCAAGTCTCATGTAAATATTGGAATTATAGTTCCAGTATCAGCTAATAAAAT